TTGATTGCATATTCGGATGTGATGTATTAGGCTTTATTTTTTATATATGCCCTTCGATGTTGTTTACTTAGGGTTTGAGGATTTTTTTCTTCAGTCACAAAGGCAATGGTTTTGATACTCTCTGGATTTTCCTAACGGGAAGTTTTTGATAAAGCCTTGATTTTAGTATCACTCAGATACTGTTCGTAAGTGGTGGGTATTTTTCTAGATTTATGTTTCGTTTATCAACTCAGATCTGGTTCGTGTTGTTCAAGAGAAAACAATATTCTCGTACTTGATTCTTGTTGAGAGTTTTCAATGATTTTGGATTCAATTTTGTTAGATTCTTGTTTGGGTTAGAAAACTTTGTTGTCAGATTTGTTAAAATATAGTCGACTAGATTTCATGATTAGAAAGTGAAACACANTGACCGGAAAATCGATGGTTATTTTCTTCNGATCAAAGNATTTTTGCAAAAACCCCGAACAGGTATGTTCAATCTAGAGTTGTGAGTTTTCAAAACTGTAACGAAAAGTTGTGTTTATTTGTTTTTATATGTTGGAATAAAATCTAAAACGTTCAGAAAACANAAAATCGATGGACTTGGATCGATAATTTAGGAAGTTTTGTTTTANGTGATGAGACTTGGGTTCATCGGCGTCGGAGGTGGAGTACGATGGAGTGGATTTGTGAAAGAGTCTGTCGAAAAACTTTATTGAAGGGGAAACAATTGTAATGGAAGCAAATTCGATGTCGCTGCATGCTTATCAGCATTAGGATTGAAGGGGAAAAACACAAAACATATTCGGTATTTCTTTTGATATTTCTTTACTTCATTATTTTATTTTCTCATGTCTCGTCTTTTATAGATTTTGATTTTGATTATCTCCAGTGTTTGTTTCGCTAGGGATTGCGCCTCCTAAGTCAAATCATTCACAAACTTTTCGAACAACCAATACATTTACAAATGTGGACATGAATATATAATACATGTACGTGAGTATGCAAAAGTTGTAACTTGTCAAAGAAGAAAGGTAGTTATTTAGTTTAAAAGTCACAAGGGGTAAAAG